TTACCAGAGATTTGCCGAGGCGCAGTTGGGGGTTTACTCCAATGCGACTTTTGGTTGGGCCTATTGGTCTCTTAAGCAAGTAGACAACCATTGGAGTCTCGACTCTCGAGTGGATGGTCCAAAATGGATATATCAACCCCTAGACTGTTCTCAAGTTTCGCCCATTAGGAAGCCCAAAGGGCTTCACCAACGCAGTATGCTCGATAGCCTTATCAAATAATTCAGTATGACCCAAGGAGTTTAAATAAATGACTCTTGCAAAAAGTGTTATTAAGTTCAAACAACTGTCATCACCCATATAGTCTTTTAATAATAAAATTACTTGTATTTTTAATTATAAATTTAAATTTTAATATTTAGAATCTACATATTTAAAAAAAAATTAAGTTCAAACAAATGAATAGGAAATGGAGGCAAATAAGGAGAAATATTAGAAAAATGAAGAGTTAGCTTCTGAAATAAGTGTACTTGATTTGAAAATAACTCTTCGGTATTTGCTAATAAGAGAAGGTTTTAAATTGTTCTTGATAGCCCAAGAAAGTAGAAACTATTTTTGAGTTAACAATTATAAAATTTTCAATATATGTTAGTAAGTTTTTGCAGCCCAACACTTGAATCTTGAGCATGTTTATAAGACAATTCTTTTTTATTGGTAGATCAACATTGATGAAGGATAATTTTAGGTATTCTTCGCGATTATTTTCCAATAGCCCCATTTTTGCATTGAGTACATATTTATGGAATGTACTCTGGACAGCTCTCCAAAAAATGAATTTGAAGCAGCAGTTTGGCACAATTTATGTTGGGAGTTGCTTATAAGCAAAATTTTCTTTTATAAGTTTGAAAAAATTTTAAGTGGAAAAATTGGGGTTGTATTGAAAAAGGTATTTATAATCAATCCAACCACGTGATTGATGGAGTTTAGTTAGGATATATTTATATTTTAATTATTTTGTAATGATATTTTGGCACTTTTCATATTTTTACGTTCTTACGTTTTTAATGTGATTTTAATTACTAAGAGTACTTGTTCTTTGCTTTTGTTTGTCTTTTTCTTTTTATTGTACCATATATTCTGTCCCTCGATTAAATTTGAATCACATTAAAGCCACTGCATGTCTCGATGCAGAATATTACTAAATTTCTGCATTTCCTAGCTAGGTGGAAGTTTGAACTTAACGCTAAAGTTCGCACTAACCAATAAATTAACTTAAAACACTTCCTTCCAAATTGTTACTAGTTGTTAAAAATTACTACTACTTTTTTTTTTTTTCTGTTATTTAACTTTGTTACTATAAAATTCACATTTAAATAATCTATCTCATCAATAATATATTCGGATTCTCCCTCCCAGTGTATATAATACATACAAAATCAACTACGAAGTTCAAAGAAAGAAAAATTTAGCAAAATGTCTACGGTCTTCATCTCAACAAGGCAGTTTGCAAGCATATGTCTCTTCTGTTTTATGTTATCTTTCTGTAATGGAGGGGTTCTGAATCCAAGCTTTCAGATCAAAGCAGTGAGTCTCGGAGGTTGGCTGGTTACAGAAGGTTGGATTAAACCTTCTCTCTTTGATGGCATCCCCAACAAAGATTTCTTGGTTTGTACATTAATTAATTTTAGTGACCTTAAGTAATATAGTTAGTTTCTCTCTTTTGTGTTCTCCATTTCTTACTTTCTTCATTGTTTTGTGGAATTAGGACGGGACAGCACTTCAGTTTAAATCAGTGACAACCGGGAAGTATCTCTGCGCGGAGGATGGTGGAGGAACAATTTTAGTTGCAAACAGGACAGCAGCATCTGACTGGGAAACATTCAAAGTAATTGACCTGTCCCCTCCATTTCTTGCTCTTTTTTTTTTTTTTGGGGGGGATCTATCATTCTATGTGTGTTTAATGAAATATTGTGTGTTAAGGGAGATCCAACCCTCCCCTCATTTGCTGTCGCCTCCTTTTTCCTTCCTGCAACTTTGCCTCTCTTGTTAGTATTTTTGTCCTGCCGCCATGGAAGTTTGTCCACCGTTGGTTTGGGATCCTTACCTTGCCATTGAAAGAAATGATAATTTGTGTTTCTTTGGCGTACATGTAGCTGTGGAGGATAAATGAGAGAGCCTTTAACTTGAGAGTCTTTAACAAGCAATTCATGGGACTAGACACCAAGGGAAATGGGGTTGATATGGTAGCTGTTTCCAACACACCTGGAAATTCAGAAACATTTGAAATTATGAGAAATTGTGATAATTCGTGCCGAGTTCGAATCAAAGCACCTAATGGCTTCTTCTTGCAAGCAAAATCAGATGTGCTGGTGACAGCTGATTCTCAAGGGAGTAGTGGATGTGGAGACAATGATCCATCAGTGTTCTTAATGACCATTTCAGGAACAATGCAGGGTGAATTTCAAGTCACTAGTGGTTACGGTCCAGAGAAAGCCCCAGCAATTATGAAGGTGAGTGCATACAATGTAGGCCTAAAAGGTTAAAAAAATAGTCAACTTAGAAAATTTTTATATATATATATAACATGTTGGTTCACATGATCAGGAGCACTGGAAGACATTCATTGTTGAAGATGACTTCAAATTCATATCGAAAAATGGCCTGAACGCAGTAAGAATACCAGTTGGGTGGTGGATAGCCAGCCATCCGTCCCCTCCGCTGCCTTATGTTGGGGGATCCTTACAAGCCTTAGACAATGCCTTCTCATGGGCAGAGTATGTTTCCCTCTTCCATTTTGCTCGCCATGTTACAAGTGCTAATGTGCCAGACAAACGTTTAATCTGATAGTTGTCACTTTTGCAGGAAATATGGGATAAAAGTCATAATTGATCTACATGCTGCACCTGGCTCGCAAAATGGATGGGAGCATAGCTCTTCTAGAGATGGCTCCCAGGATTGGGGCAAAACAGATGATAACATACAACAAACAGTTGATGTCATAGATTTCTTGACTGCCAGGTAAAATCAAAAGCATATGGTTTATTTACACATACATAGATATATGAACCTGATTAAGTCGATACCAAGATTAATTTGTAATTAATTTTCTCCAATTAAAAGGTATGCGAAGAGCTTGAGCTTGTATGCTGTAGAGCTGATTAATGAGCCCCTGGCACCAGGAGCCTCCCTGGAGAACTTGACCAAATACTACAAAGCTGGTTATGAGGCTGTTCGAAGACACTCCTCAACAGCCTATGTCGTGGTGTCGAACCGGCTTGGGACAACGATGGAGCCAAGAGAGCTGTTCCCTCTAGCTAGTGGCATGAGCAACTTGGCCATTGACGTCCATTATTACAACGTTTTGTCAGACATTTTCAATAACATGACTATCCAACAAAACATTGTTTTCCTCCTCACTAACAGGACCTCACAGTTGAATTATATCACTCAATCTAATGGACCCCTTACTTTTGTTGGTACGTTGAAATTAGGACAAACCCTTAATTCCATTTAGTTCTGATGTGTTAAAAACTAAGGAATTTAACATCTAATTATTGGTTTCAGGTGAATGGGTGGCTGAATGGGAAGTTAAAGGAGCGAGCAAGGGGGATTACCAAAGGTTTGCCAAGGCTCAGTTGAAGGTATACTCTAAAGCAACTTTTGGTTGGGCCTATTGGACCCTTAAGAATGTAAACAACCATTGGAGTCTCGAGTGGATGATCAAGAATGGATACATCAAGCTTTAGACTGTTCAAAAGTTTGGCTCCTTAGGAAGCTCAGTGGGCTTCACCCACTCTTGATGACCCTAATAAATTTTTTTCAATATTTATTATTAATGCAAGACATTTGATTAAGGTAGGTTTATAACTTTATATCACTATTTACCCAAACCAATGATTCAATGGTTGTATGCTTCAGCTTCAGCTATTAATCTTTTACGGTTTTACCCCACAAATGGAACTGAAGAAGAATCATAGGTTGAGTTTGAGTGGAATCCATGGAAGAAAAGGAAGTGACAATCTAGCCTTTTTGTAGACATCAATGCTCTTTGAGTCTTACGGTCCATGGGGTGTCGCCTGTGTCTATCTCAGTGGGAGACATCAATTATTGCCAACACAAAATTTCCTTTCATTTTTCTCATAATTATATATAGGGAAAAGGAAAAACACCACAAAACCACCTTATTTCAATAAAATATCATAAAAAGATTAGAATAGTCTTATTTTTTTTTAAATAAGACACTATAAATATATCAAAATATATAGTCTCATTCATACTTTAAAAATGAATTATTTTAAATTTTTTTTAATGCGAGTTTTAGAGTGTTAATAAATCATTGCATGTAATCATAAGCAAAAAAAAAAAAGTGCTATATAGTACAAATTATACAATTTAAATCATTGAAGGGGAAAAATTTATTGATATCAGGAATTCTACTTCATTCAATAATTTTTATTTTATAATTTAAACTAGAAAAAACACCTGATCATAAATTAATGAAGAAATTAACTGTTTTAGGAAAATATTGTTGTTTCTTGTTTGGGAAAAATGATGTGGATGGGTGGGTGCGAAACCTCAACTCTTGGTGGTCATTGTTGTAGGAAGGAAGTGAAGTGATAGGAGCATTCTAAGTTTCCCACTTGGTTGAGTAGACTTAGAACACAAGTAATCACCTTTGATTGCTTAAAAACTATTTCCTTCGGCAGAATTATTGAGAAAACAACAATTTGGAATAAATGAGACATCAATGTGAGCTGTTCACATGTTTATGCATTGGTTCCTAAGTCTTGGATGGACCACTGAATACACTGGGTAAATTGCTCTGTCTGCCAATCACTCTCACTCAGGATTCATTACTTTGATATTTTTCAATATCATGATTTACAAAAATGTATGAAGCTGAGAATTAAGGAAATAGAAAAGACGGCCACAAAAAGGAAATATGACAGAAATTGGAGAAACACTTTTAGAGCATTTGTTTTAGCAAAGTCATGTTTTAGTCTTGCCCCATGTCTCACATCCAGAAGAAATTTTGACTAGATATGTATAAATAAGCAAATCACTTACCAACAATATATG